CTGTTTTCCCGTGTGTTTCAACTTCCCCTGATCCCTCCTGTGTGTATTTAAGTCATCTGTCTTCCTTTGTTCAGTTTCAGGTCAGCTATTTTCCCTCCACGTCTTGTCATAGTAACCTTAGTAGTCATAGTTATCACAGATGTCATAGTTGATTCATAATTTTTTTTTTTTGCCAGTTTAGGTTTTAGTTTAGTTGTCGCTTGTGTTTTGCCTTTGCTCAAGTTTTATGTTGATGTCTACCAGCCATAATAAATGGCTCGCTGTTAGTTAAAACCTCTGTTCATCTATCTACCGGTATACCCCACTATGGCACTTGTTTAATATGTGCATTGAAGGACATGTCCTGGTCAAAACTGACTTCAAAATTAATCACATTCTTACTGAAGGCCAGGGTCATGCTGTTTAGATACCATATTTCTAAAATATTTAGGGCTGAGTACAATAACATCAGGTACAATAATTCAGGTCTGTGTGTTTTTAAGACATTCCTGCAGTTTAACTAATTGGTGTGTGCTATCTGCCTTCATGGATAGATAAGGCTTAGTGTCATCTGCATAGCAGTGAAAGTGCATGCTATTAAACCTGGATCCTCTGTAGCTGGTTACCAAGACTATGTACAGTACCCTCAAAAGATCTACTAGATCAATGGACCAGTACTGGTCCGTGAGTCATTTGGTATCGGGCTGCGAGAGTTGAGGGTTTTTATCGTTTTTTTTTTTTATCATTTGTATCATCAACTCGGTTTCTCGGTCTTTTCCCATGTGCTATGAATAAATCTTCTCTTTTTTTGGTACTGGTACTGGTTTTATTTTGTTGTAATTATCTGCAATACCTTAAATGCCGGTCAATGAAAATATTGTCAAACATGAACTGGTCCGTGGTGCAAAAAAGGTTGTTGACCGCTGTACTAGAAGATGTGAATGCACCACTACGCGACCATTACCCTGACTGACCAGCTAATCAACACCGCGGCAGCAGTCACCAGTTAGCTACAAGCTGAAAAGCCACAAGGAGCAGTAGTAATATGATCAGGAAGTGAAGATTAAACAGTATTCAAAGCAGGAAGTGATGAATTAATGGTAATAAGAGCAGGAAGTGATGAATAAACACTAATAAAATCAGAAAGTGATGATTAAACTAATAAGAGCAAAAAGTGATGAGTAAAGAGTAATAAGAGCAGGAAGTGATGAATAAACAGTAATAAGAGCAGGAAGTGATGAAGAAAGCATAATTAGAACAGGAAATGTGGAATCAGCCTGAAGTCTAAAGCACACAGATTGAGTCCACAGACCTGAACACTACCACAGTGAGTCTGTTTCAAACAGCAGCTCGATGTTTCTACAGTTGATCTGTGGCTAC